TTGGTTGGAATATTTCACCGTCCTTAAGGAAAATGCTAATCAGTGTCACGTAAGCTTGATGAAGGAGGCGACCGTTATACCTGATGCATTGCTGACTGTCACTGAAGTAGCTACCATACATTATTCTTGGTTATTTACCACTGTGACAACTGTGTCAATCTTGTGTTATTTCTAGTGCAAAAAAACTCCTCCTCCTGGCTCTGTAAGTATTTAGACCAAATATGCAAAAACACAGGTACTCTTGATCATCTGGAGGCAATGCTGTTTCTGGAGGGAAATCTTTGACTATAAATTAAACAAGTGCAGTTATTAGTGATTTTAATGTTTTCCAATTGCCTTTGTAATGTGATCTAAAACATGACTGCAGAATGTAAAGATCAACATTATGAGTTATTTATGTTTTAAGATGTTTCTTTGAGTGGCATTTTAGAAGTTTGGAAGTACAATAATATAGAACAAACTTTATGGATAACAACTTCTTTTTATTCGTGAGTGCGACGATATGCTTGACAACGGTACAAGAATCTGTATCGAAACGTCGCACTCACGAATAAAAAGAAGTTGTTATCTATAAAGTTTGTTCTATATTTAAAGATGTTGACTTAAAGATCAATGTATGCTGTATTTTATAAGCTAAATGATATAATGATTAGAACAAATCTAATCAATTTTGCAGAACACATCTTCATGCTTGAGTCTCTATGTAAATGGAGAACATGAAGATTATTAGCCTGAGATGCTTAAGCCCACAATGATGCACTCACTAAGTGTAGCAGAGTATGAGCCTGTTTTGTTCATCCCTACACTCTGGAATCTTCCAGCTATATGATGGCAGTCTGTAAATGATCAAATCTAGATGAGACAATCCAGTTATAGACATCATGATCATTGATCCCTGAAATTAATATACATTGTAAACCAAAACTCACTGTGTTCATTAATCTGATTGGTTGAAAAAACATGATCGAATGCTATTCGATTCCCGGAAATTTGCTGCGTATTTATACGTACAAACATCGCTCACAACATTGTATTGTTACGTCGTCAGCTGTGATGACGTAATTCAAATCATATTGAGACGTAAAGTCTGAATGACGTCACAAATGAGCAGTTCCAGATGCTACCAAGGGAGACAGCCGAAACGGCCGGCTGATGACATTGCACGGCTCTACCTGTACGCCATGTCAGTGAGTGCAGACAAACATGTGTGTGGACCTTTTGGTTTACTTTTGTGTTTACAATGTCGATAAACATCATGTGTTGGCCAATTTCCTGGTTTTATTGAGTGTTTTAAGCACGGGAATATTTCATTTGAAACCTCGGGAATTCATATTCCCATGCTTCAAATACTCAATAACACCCGGAAATTGGCCAACACATGATGTTTATCTCCTAAATGACACGCATCAACCAAGTCAGCCGGCCTGACCACATGATCCTGACATATGCATCTTGCAACAAGTATGGCTTGCTGAAGATCAATTCCATACAGATCAGTATCACATATCTGGAATATGTTGGCCACTAAGGTAAACAACAAGCCAACAAGATACACACACATCCAGACTGGCATCATCCAGACTGGCATCACCCGAGGGGATCTTCCTGCCTTACAGAAAGTGGCGAAAAGCAACATATGTTATATTTTGGAGTACAATTTCTCTGTAAAGTACAGATCACTGACTCTGTGTTCTGGCAATAACGTGCCTTACTCTGATAGTTAGGGTTCCCAGATGGGACTCAACTAAACTGAAAAAGTGTATGCCCAAATGTAACTTATGTTGCTTTTGACCACTTTCTAAAAGGCATTGTGTATTTACAGCTTCCTTCAATGGCAGCTGTGCCAAATTACACTTATCATCAGAGGGGTACACAAAGTACATGATCTGGACAACTGGTTGTCAGAGTTCCATTTTTGCGGAAGCTGCAATGGCTAAGTGGGTTAGATTGCTGACTTTGTGTGCTGCTGATGAGGTGCCTGACTCTGAGTTGGGGGTCTTTGTGATAATCATACATTTTCTCTCTTGTCCAAGGATTCAAAGTGATGACATCACAAACAGGAATATGAAGTACCCGATAAAACTACCGCACACAGCATATAATTATAGAAAGTCAAATTCCAAGCTTATTCCAGACTGCATGCACAACACTAATTTTTTATAGGCACACAATAAATACAGAAGGGTTATATTGGCATAGTGTACCCAGCATTATGATTGATAGTTTGTTTACATTGGCGGATCCAGAAGGGGGGTTCAGGGGGTTCGAACCCCCCTTTTGAAAATGACTTAAGACCACTTTGAAGATTTTTTTTGCGTTGGCGGAGCCAATGGGGGGTTTGAACCCCTGAACACCCCCCCTTTCAAAATTTCTGGATCCGCCCATGGTTTATTAACTTCAAACTCTGGGATATTCCAGCTATATGATGTTGTCGTGTAAATATTTGGTTCTTAGCCATGCAGTCAAGTGACTGATATAGTGAGCAACGGTCCAAGCCTGACCAACCAATTCATCTGTCCACCCCTTACAACCACAATGGGCGGAGACCAATTCCATCTCCGAATACACCACATGACCTTCAGTCAGTCAAAGTTGTTCATGGTTAAGCTGTCCATAAGATCTGCCAAAGCTGTGATAATCTTCTTTAGATGTATATCATCAGAAGGACTAGTGACCTAATAGATTCCATCTCTGCTGTTCCAGTGCCTTCTAAAATAACCATCATCTCTATCAAAGCTTTACAAAACACTGACATTCATCACACATGGAGTGACATTTTCTGAACTATTTTCTGTAACTTAGTCCCAGAGAAACACATTACACACTTAATGCGCATGGGCAATCAAAGCTGTCAACTTGAATAGATCTTCTCTGATCCAGCCATCTCAAACCAACAACCACACAGAGCCATCTGTATATATACCATCACAGAATCTCTCATCTATAGTCCTGATTGGAGAACAACAAAGGTTTTAATCTGGTTAGGGCTAAAAACAAGTCAGTAAAAAGCTAAATAATTACTTAAAACCCAACATGCTCAAATGGACACATCAGTATATAATACACAAATTGAAAAAAGCAAAGCTGGTATATTTCTAGTTTTATATTATGACTGATAAACTAGAGTACAATACATAGAGTTAGTATGGACCACGTAATGAGAAGAGACTGTTAGTGTTAGCACTAAGTACTACTGGGATATGATTAGTAAAATGCCGCTCTCACTTAATGTGGCAATATTCTGCTAGCAACGGTGGCTCAATCTGAGCTCAATAAAAGCCTTTCAGCACTTCCTAGTCTAAATCAGAGGGCAGACAAGGTTAAGTTAAACTTGTATTTGAAAACATTTAGGCAGGGGGTGTTTTGTGGTTTCCTTGTCTGACTTCGTGAAGATCTAATTTTGCTGTTTGGCTTCTTGGTCAATAATGTTGCTGCATCTGAGTTTGAGTTGAGTGATAATCAATAGTATACAATGTTGCAGCTTATATTACACTCGCAGCTACATTTACCATGACATTTACCATTATCGGTCTCTTCCTTCAACCATTCTATATATTTCATTATTTACAAGACAGGCTTCTAAATCTGTACATGATACTTATCATTTTACATTGGAAATCAGAGTTTCTGCCTACATTTTATATTCTTTTTTTTAAAATTTAATAACTCTTGACCTTTTCTCTCTCTTAAATCTGATCTCTATTTTTAAATCTGATCTTTCTCATTACTTCTTCATAGATACAAAAACAAATTAAAATCATCACTGTGGATTGAGAAGTTACAATGCCTACTGAATTATCAACTGTTTTAGGTATTCCAAACACAGTTTCTGAGAAATGTCTAAGTCAGAGCAAGTGATTCATATTTGACTTTTATTCAAGCATGGTATGTTGATATTTATTTGCAAAGTTCTGAACATGCTGAAGTGTATATTACAAATTGACAAAATACTACAACTTGAGTGAACATGAAAGTGAGCTTTCGAACATATCAGCAACATTGTAGCAAATGAGCTTAACAATGTGCTAAATATCTCCATAGTGTTGGTACCAGTGAAGATCTGTGTTAGAATTGGTCTACAGTAACCCATGCTTATCGTAAGAGGCGACTAACAGGAATGGGTGGTCAGGCTGACTTTGTTGACACTTTACATCATATGTGTAGACTGATGTGGATGCTGTAGATCACTGGATTGTCTGGTCCAGACACGATTATTTACAGACCACTACCATATAGCTGGAATATTGCTGAGTGTGGCATAAAACTAAACTTCGAAAGCGTTCGAAATTAACGTCGGTCCTTAGGACCCGCGGCCAACTGAAAACCATTCGGATCAACAGATTTTGTTTTCTACAGGTTCTCATGGCTGAGAGCTTTTTCATCCCAATAAGTCAGAGTATTATTTCCATATTAAAATACAGGGCCTACACATTCTAATCAGGACCCACAACTTTTTATGGTTCTAGGTCCTTAGGGCTGGCAGCTTTTCAGGGTCAAGGGAAAACACTGCCAGGGAACATGTCTAGCACAGACTCCAAAGTAGTGGATACCTACTGACAAGTTTTACTAGGCATAATTGTTGAAGTTTCTGTGTGAGATGTTAAGTACCTTTTGAAATTTAATCTAACCTAAAAATTATAAAATGTCTATATTGATTTATACATAAACAAATAAATGTTTAACAGAATAGAAATTCAGGTATCATTAGACTGTGTCCTGCTGGCAAAACAGCTATAAATTCAATATTCTATTTATACAGTCTCACAAAAGGATATTGACAATTTTTAACGCTTTGTCAGCAACCATTATGGAAACAATTTGTCGGTGAATATCCTCTCTAAAAAATTGCTGTTCCTCAATCAATACTACTGTCTATTTCTACTGGTTCTAAACTCAGCATAAAGCGTCTTTTGTATGCTAAATATGGCAGCAATTACGGCACAATATTGCCACATAAGTAGACAATTACTCTGCGATGCAAAAGAAAGTCCTGAAGGTACCTTTATTGTTGGCCGAGTCTGTCCCTTCTGTGGCTTCTGCAAATAGCAAAATAGTCACATGACCTTCCACACATGTATACCAATCTCCGCTTCCACTGAGCTTGGACCTTCAGATCATTGCGTATTACGAAAGTTCTGCATTATGATGTTCTGAACATCTGAAAATATCCTTTCACCTTCTTTCATCATTGTACATTTCTTGACCTCGAGATCTTAATTTGCATGAGCACAATGATGTTTGATACCTTTCAAATATCACAGACAAGGTGATTTAGTCATTTAAGATGATAGCTCTTTTTCAAATATAAATGCAAGATGTATAGATTCTTCAGCCAATCAGATAGCAGCTTTCTGAAACAACTTGGCTTCATTTCTTTACCATTCTGATCTGGAAAATATGATCGTATTAACAGTGAGTGAGTGAGATTGGTTTTATGCCTCTTTTAGCAATATTCCAGCAATATCATGCTTGGGGTCACAAGAAATGGGCTTCACACATTGTACCAATGTGGGGAATCGAACCTGGATGGACGAGCATACGCATCAACCTCTAGGCTACCCAATTGTCCCTGTATCCACAGTGATATGCCACAGAACACAAACATATGTGCCACAGTACCATCCGTTAGGATGTATATACCATGGTGCTCTGAAACATAGGATACCCACACCAATAGCCCAGCTTTATTTTGTAGCATTCAGGATTCCCCAACCATATTTTTCAAGATACAGAAATCAGATAGTCTCATCTTACTGCTTCATTCAATCATATTAAAAATTCAAAAGGTCGATGCTGATTTATCAGAAAGTCCATCTGATGTGATGACCTTTCAAGATCTCCGCCATGGGGGCACGATGACACACGATAAGCCAGGTCATACTCTCTGATAAAGCAATACTCAATATATAGCTCTTGGCGTATACAGAGTGGTAAGTTTCAGACTGGTAAACAAGCCCTTCAAGCACACGTCAAACTATCATACAATTAACTTTCTTACAGGATGCAAATTGACAAAAGAACATGTATAACAACAGCAGGAGACCTTTTATTGCCAAAATCCCAGTTGGTAATATACTTTATAGATGACAGTATAGTTGGTTTGGTTTGGTTTGTTGTTTAATGCAGCACTCAGCAATATTCCAGCTATATGGCGGCGGTCTATAAATAATCAAGTCTAGACCAGACAATCCAGTGATCAACAGCTTGAGCATCTATCTACGCAATTGGGATATGATGACATGTGTCAAGCATGGGTTGTTAAAGACCAATTCTAACCCAGATCTTCACGGGTTGACAGAATAGACACATACACATATCAAGTAGCCATATGGCACTCTTAAAAAATTGCATTTTCTATCCCTGAAGAATCTCTACTGTCACATCATAATATATTAAAGAAGTTGTCATCCATTAAGCATCTGACCTTTCCTGTTACTCACCTACTTCTAAAATGCCAAACAGATCGTGTCCAATGCAACATGTAATGGCAGTTTGTATTCAGATCATGTCTACCAAAGTTTGTTTCCTAAACAAACCCAGGCTGATGGGGACAGTTTTCTCCTTTTTATCCCAACAGGTGCCTGAAAACCACGGATCACCTAAGAATAGTGAGTGGGTGAGTGGGTGAGTGAGTGAGTGAGTGAGTGGTGGGTGAGTGAATGGGTGAGTGAGTGAGTGGGTGGGTGAGTGAGTGAGTGAGTGGGTGAGTGGGTGAGTGAGTGGGTGGGTGAGTGAGTGAGTGAGTGAGTGGGTGGGTGAGTGGGTGAGTGAGTGAGTGAGTGAGTGAGTGAGTGAGTGAGTGAGTGAGTGAGTGAGTGAGTGAGTGAGTGAGTGAGTTTAATGTAGCTGAGATGATCTCAGATGATCTCTCATTGTTTAAAGCAGACTAATGACAGTCATGCATGGAAAGATTTGGAGGGACAGTCATTGCGAATTACTGGCTAACTTTCCATTAGGGGATAGGCACAACACTAGCCTGTTACCTTAGACTATTGAAAAGTATGTAGAAGTACATAGAAGATATTGTGAGTGCCCATGTCATACGTACTAAATTTTGGTATTTCCCGAGCGAAAGCAAGCGATATACCTATATTTTGGCACGAGTGTCGTAAACATAATATGATATGGGCAAGTATATACAGGGGTGGAAATAACTTTAAAACTATAAGTGTACGCCAGTACAGTGGCACATGTAAAATCACTTGCCCTGATAATTTTTCCACTTTACCGGCCGATTTTCTTGTTCATTTTTTAAATAAACAACATAATTAACATTTGAAAGTCAACTGAACACCGGTACAACGTGATATTCAAATTTGCTTGCCCGACAGAAAAAAACACTGGACTGGGACGTCGGGCAATGGGTTATTTCCACCCCTGATATAATATTCTGTTTATTACCGAAGTCGTCAAATTGAGGAAAATAAACCCAAATCTACTTTCAAACATAGGCTGTCTACCCGCCGTCGTCGTATGTAGAAAGTAACGTCATAGAAGAAACGTGACGTCATAGCATTGTTCATGACGTCACGTCACCATGACAAAGTGATATTTTGCCCTAGGTCATCATATGAAAAATATGAACCCCGATATTGTAGCCCTCGTAGGTTATAAAGTAAACTATGCTTCACAACAAACATGATAACAACGAAAACACCAATATCTTGGTCCCGGACACTTGCTGTATATGATGAGTGAGTGAGTGAGTTGGGTGTTAGTAATATTCCAGCAATATCACTGCAGGGGACACCAGAAATGGGCTTCACACATTGTACCCATGAATGGAATCGAAGCCAGAGCTTCACCTTCGGGGCTTTAACCACTGGGCTACCCCACTGCCCCCTGTATATGATAACAAACTAAATTTCATGGTCATAAGCTACACAGTAGTTAGATATGACCAAATGAGCATCCCTATACAAATGTTGATCTTTTTACAAACCAACAGAAAAAAAAGGTGTGTACTGGCATATGCTGATGTACAACGTAGTCACCATTATTTTCAGTTATGTCGATGTTCGCTTGTGATCATTACTATCTGGGGTCACCAGAAACTAATGTGTTTATGAAGCAAGTCAAATGTTTCCTAACATCAAATGTGGCCATAAATGAAATAATGTTTGAAATCCACGACAATTGTCATTACTAATAACGCATACCAAATGCCACTTCAAAATATTCCATGTCACATGATGCATTCATAAGTAATTAGGGTATAATAAGACTATGACAAGTCATTATTATTATTATTCATTTTCATCCTCACCCACTTCATTATAACATCAGGGAGTCTATTTCATTACTACATCGAGGAGGTGGGGAAGTCTAGTGGTTAAAACATTCCCTCGTCACAGTGAAACCCCGGGTTTGATTCCCCACAGGGTATGTGTGAAACCCATTTCTGGTGTACCTAGCTGTGATATTGCTGAAATATTGTTAAAAGCATCGTAAAACTAAACTCACTCACTCATTAACATCAGTCGCACATCATTTTGTCCCATAGTTTTCTTTGTTTTCATTAATTTATCTGTTACTTTACGGCAGTGTTTAAATATCTCAGTCAGACCAGACTATCAAGTGACTGACATCATAAGCATCATATACATCCTTTATTCCAAGTACCATATCTCTCTTAAACAAATGTGAAGCCTAGTGGTTAAAGCGTACCTAATCAATGAATTTATGTAAATGTGTGAAGCCCATTTCTGGCGTCCCCCAACCGTGATGTTTTGTATCTCTCAATGATGTGTCAGTAGCTTTGCTGCTGATGTAACACAAACTTCCTGAAAAGGCATTAAAGTATTATTTTATTCTATTCTATAAATCTAGGCTGCAACAACCAAGCCAGCGAGTCACCTCATCCTGTTAGTAGCCTCATATGGCAGGCACTGGTTGTTGAAAATCAATGCTTCATGGGTTTGTCCCATGGCCCCTGCAGATGAAGAAGACTGAACACTTTTCCTTTTCCACTGAATGAAACACACTACATGTAAACACACTACATGCAAACACACTACATGTAAACACACTAAACACACTACATGTAAACACACTACTGAACTAATGCAACTCAATATTTACTTATGACTAAACATTTGAGTGAAGATTATTATAGTACTTCACAAGACGAATACATGCTTCATGTGAATCATACCTGTCAACAGCTGTCAACTTTGTTTTAACATTCAAAATAAAAACTTATGAAGATCTAAAACTCACAAATATTTTTGGATTCATGTCATAGAATCAAAATCACAAATACTTGATTCAAACAGAAAGTAGGCTTGATGATCAAATATGCATAATTTCACATCTGTCTAAATTTAGTCACTTTTTGATCGCTTCACATACATCAGAAACTAATAGTGATAATGTTTACCGATTTCACCCACAAATAAAAAACATCCAACAAACATTTGCTAAAAAAACCACACCAGCACCACTTAGTTGGCACAGCACCAACATGACAAACGTAACAAAATGTCATCACGGAAATTCCGGATAATGACACCAAATTGGTAATTATCGCCATTACTAATTATCACATGATTGCAGATATTGTTTGTTTAGTCATTATTTCTGTCACATTATCTAAACGGAAAGTAGTCGCAAGGAGGAACGTGACATAACAAAGCACTGTAATGTATGCCATGTCATGTTGACAAATTGAAACAGAAAATAGACACCAAGTCTCCCAACAAATAAACAATACATGACTAACAGATTACCACCTGCAGAGTATCAAATATCAACTAGTTTCCTCACTGCTCTTGATAAATAGCCTCTAGGAATGCCCAATTAATCATCATATTTGTAACTGCAGTCACTCACAGATCTTCGAAACACTAGACTATTGAAGATCTGGGTTAGAATTGATCTTCAGTTCACCCATGCCATCGTAACCCAATTTGCGTAGATCAATGCTCATGCTGTTGATCACTGGAATGTCTGGTCCAGAGTTGATTATTTACAGACCACCAGCATATGGCTGGAATATTGCTGAGTGTGGTGTAAAACTCACTCATGCATTCACTGAAACACTGGCAGTTTGGGTGACAAGCCCTTTCAATATCATAAGGGGAGTTTAAAGTGTAAATGACTTTTATTCATAGTTGTGTTCACTAAATGGATGATCCCAATTGAAAACAGAGTTACTACAAGCGATGAGGATCCTGTTGCCTAGCAACATAATTGCTGTCACAGATACACCTGACAACTCTATCAAAATAATTTTCATATGATGATTGGATTTTGGGATTGAGAATTGATGCACATTAAATAGCATTTTAAAAGCAATTTTGAAACTGTAGCCCAAGGTTACATTTCGCAAAATGATCTTAGCTCTGTCATCTCTCACATTCGTTAATCGTACTCTGTGGAATGGAACCATGACAATAAATCTCTGTAAACAAACCAACTCATAAATATATCTCCTGACTATGTGTGACGTATAACCCTGATCATCTTGTCTATATAAACTTAGCTATGGTACATCCTTGCTGGAATCAATTACATCAGCAATCATGCATTCTCAATTGGAAGAGTCTAAAAACATCAATTCTGACAGTCTGGTTTGCAACCGACACCTGACTGTATCTACTGTCTATAATGACTCCATTAGCCATAACTTACTTTAACCATTTCTTGGTGATTCTTTCTTTGAACATGACTGTTCTGAGATGAGCATACAAAATCAAAAGAAATTTGATAGACTTAGGCTACAGAGAACATCAAAAGTTTTCAAGGACTAAACAGCTCAATTAACATTGGTTTGTCGAGCAAATTTTCTCCAGGAATTAATCAAACTCAGTATTAGGTGACAGCTGTAATTATCTGCCACTGTTCAAAACTGATCGAGCTCATCGAACCCTTTAGAGTTATTCCTGTATTATTTGAATTTGCACACACTCTTAACTTTGGGATTATGACAAGGAAACTTTGCTTTTCATGCTTAATTCAGAATTCAAACCACTGTCTATCATAAAGCCAGTGTGTTGCCATGGTCACATCTGACATTGTGGAGCGCAATAGTGCAGTGGTAAGGCGTCTGCCTATTATGCTGAAAACCCGGGTTCGATCCCCGGTAAGGGCACCTAGGTTTAGGTCCCGAGGTGGGCACATTTGTGTGGTATCCTTGGACAAGATACTTCAATCCACATTGTCTCAGAACACCCAGCTGTAAAGTGGGTACCCGTGAGGATGTGCTGGCAATGTGAGTGTTTGTAACTCAGGGGTAGATTAAGTATACCACTAGGAATAGCTATGACTTAGTGTTAAAGTTTCTTTTGATTTTCTGTATGTAATCTGTGTATCCACAGGAATAAGGCTACCATAATCCAGAGGTAAGTTTACTAACAATTACTAACAATACATGTAATTGTTCCTTTTGATGTGCATCAATTCTCAATCCCATAATCCAGTCATTATATGAAAATTATTTGATAGAGTTGTCAGGTGTATCTGTGACAGCAATTACAAACAAACACTCACATTGCCAGCACATCCTCACGGGTACCCATTTTACAGCTGGGTGTACTGAGGCAAAGTGGACTGAAGTATCTTGTCTTGTCTTCACCGGGGATCGAACCCGGGTTTTCAGCATAATAGGCAGACACCTTACCACTGCACTATTGCACTCCACAATGTCAGATGTGACCATGGCAACACACTGGCTTTATGATAGACACTGGCTTTCTGTATGTAATCTGTGTATCCACTGGAATAAGGCTACCATAATCCAGAGGGAATGATTACGTTATAATTTAGCATTTTAAAAGCAATTTTGAAATTGTAGCCCTGTGACAACCCAGGTATTCAGTACTTCAATCACTTGGTCTCCACAACCCTGTGTCACAACCCAGGTATTCAGTACTTCAATCTCTAGGGTCTCCACAACCCTGTGTCACAACCCAGGTATTCAGTACTTCAATCACTATGGTCTCCACAACCCTGTGTGTCAACCCAGGTATTCAGTACTTCAATCACTTGGTCTTCACAACCCTGTGTGACAACCCAGGTATTCAGTACTTCAATCACTATGGTCTTCCACAACCCTGTGTGACAACCCAGGTATTCAGTACTTCAATCACTATGGTCTCCACAACCCTGTGTCACAACCCAGGTATTCAGTACTTCAATCACTTGGTCTCCACAACCCTGTGTGACAACCCAGGTATTCAGTACTTCAATCACTTGTGTCACTGCCACAACCCTGTGTTTGGTTTCCACACGCTCTTAGCCAGCACATATTCCTGCAACATCACCATTAGGCTACCCCAATGGCCCTCACAATATAAACAACATGTGGGATGTTTTACAATCTGGTCTTTTTCTGAAGTGATTTGAAGCAATGTAGTTTGGTTTAAGGTTAGAAGTGGGCAAGAACTGAATAGGAATACTTTAAAGCCTCTTTCTCTACATTGGTTTTATTATCAACGTGTCACCTCTACTTAGCTGTAATATGACATCCTATACTAAAGCAAAACAGAAGGACAATGACAAACCTTCCACCTAATAAAATCACATCTTTACTATCATTTAATACCTCTCCATCAAGAACTATCCATGAGAGGTGTTATCAAGTGAACATTGTTAAAGTAAGCTTCATTTGGTATCATGACCACGGGTACAGACAGTCAGGATAATTATGATGATTAGTCTTCCTTATAAAGAGGTACATAAGAATATATTGCATGATTAATTTTCACTTCAGTGCCTAACTGATCATCAGAAATGGAAGAAAAATCGTCATAAAAAATTTAATGACCTGGCCAAAGCCTAGCACAATCAATGAGCCATGCCAACAACAGTGGGACTATCAGAGTAATCAGACAGATATGCAGTGATTAACAGTGAGTGCAGGTGTGGATAGTCACTCTCACATTGGAATATGGTCAAGGGGAGGCAACTCCATCTCCCCTACCTATGTCAATCAACAACTTGCCATCCTGTAAATCTTCAGGAATAACACATTCCAGCTTGTATGTTGCATGCTGTGATTTGTGTAACATTCTGCATGAAATGATCCTGAAGCTTGTTAATATATCAGTAATTTAATCAAAGAGTATTCCAATGTCAGATCATAACATTCCCTACTACAAACACGTACATGTTACAGCATCCAATTACAGGTGATGTCTGAATAGAAGTTGACAATAACCAATCAGACAGCAGCTTTCTTAGACTTTACCATTGAGCAATGGGGAAAGGGGGGCAGCAATATCAGGTATTGTGATAGTGGGGTCCAGTAATATGGCAGAAATATGGTGCAATGGTTGGTTTATTGTTTAACGCCACTATTCCAGCTATATGTCGGTGGTCTGTAAATAATCAAGTCTTGACCAGACAATCCAGTGATCAACAACATGAGCATCGATCTACGCAATTGGGATACGATACAGGGGTCCAAAATCAGATTGCCCGACGCCTGGGACAAGTCAGTTTCATTTGAGACAATCAAATAATGGTATCTTACTGCGTCCGTGGGCTGCTAGATAATTTCTGCTTACGGTTTCAAACTGCAAATAAACATATCTACTAAAATGTAGGTCTTAAAATTTGACACGATCACGAGAACAAAATGAGATTTTCGCAATGATAATAAACTAGAGTTATTTTTCTTTGTTATTTATCACTCCTTGATAAATAGTCCAGTAAACATTAACATCAAATACCATGTTGATTTATTCCTTCATACTTACATCATCATGATAAATTAAGCAATAACCAATCAGACAGCAGCTTTCTTAGACTTTACCATTGAGCAATGGGGAAAGGGGGCAGCAATATCAGGTATTGTGATAGTGGGGTCCAGTAATATGGCAGAAATATGGTGCAATGGTTGGTTTATTGTTTAACGCCACTATTCCAGCTATATGGCGGTGGTCTGTAAATAATCAAGTCTTGACCAGACAATCCAGTGATCAACAACATGAGCATCGATCTACGCAATTGGGATACGATACAGGGGTCCAAAATCAGATTGCCCGACGCTCGGGACAAGTCAGTTTTCATTTCGGGCAATCAAATAATGGTATCTTACTCGTCCGTGGGCTACTAGATAATTTCTGCTTACGGTTTCAAACTGCAAATAAACATATCTACTAAAAATGTAGGTCTTAAAATTTGACACGATACGAGAACAAAATGAGATTTTCGCAATGATAATAAACTAGAGTTATTTTTCTTTGTTATTTATCACTCCTTGATAAATAGTCCAGTAAACATTAACATCAAATACCATGTTGATTTATTCCTTCATAATTACATCATCATGATAAATTAAGTCATAAAAATCAGGGCAAGTGGAAAATTAGTCAGAACAAATTACTTTCTTAAAGTCACTTGCCCTGTGGCAAGTGGCTTTTAAAAGAAATTTTTAGCCCCTGCGATAACATGTTTCAACCAAATCAATGAGCCTGATCCCGTTCCCGTTAGTTGCCTTTTACAACAAGCATGGGTTACTGAAGACCCAGTCTAACCAGGATCTTCACAAATGGTAGAAATGTGACAATGGGGCAAGATAAATCTCACTAATGTGAAAGTGGGGTCCAGCAATATACCAGCAATGTGAAAGTGGGGTCCAGCGATATCCCAGCAATGTTACAACAGGGACCAGCAATATTCCAGCAATGTTACAACAGGGACCAGCAATATCCCAGCAATGTTACAACAGGGACCAGCAATATTCCAGCAACGTTACACTGGGGCAAGATACATCAAAGCAATGTGAAAGTGGAGTTCAGCAATATCCAATCAATGTTACTTTTGGGACAAGCAAAAAGTAAAAGAAGTCTAAAAATGATACTAAACATCGGTTCTAAAGACGTGTATCTAACATAAAAGGTAATATGTGTAAAAGTGTAAAAGGAATATGGGGAGTGGACTGCTAAACTCACCTGAAGACTGAGCAAGGGAGGTAAGTTGTGTGGACTGCTTGATGAGAGAGACACGGTAGAAGTAGTTCCTCCAAAACACTTCCTCTTTCACACTGAAAACGACATTTTCAGTTAAATAATAATTCTATAGCTTAATGTAAAAGAAACAACATGACATATCTATATATGAGTTTTAAGAAATATATGAAACACTTCAGTTACAAAACACCATAAGAAACAATGCTGACATATCAAGTGAGATCTTCAAGGAGAATGATCTAGGGGAGGTAACTCTTACATAGATCTTCCCACAATGGGTGTTAGAAAAAGATGTTGTTTAACAATATTACACAAAACCCATGTTACTTCTTCAATAGCCTCTTCCACTCACAAGCTTTTGACTAAATTTCCTTATGAAAATAAGAGAGAATGTTTTAATTTAATTGATTTGTAACTCCTTCTTTCAAACGTTTTGGCAACATTCCATAATGACTCACAGTTTGGGCACAAGTTCAAATCTCATTTTCTGCAAGTTTGGATCCTCCTGGAGTGTTGCCATGGCAACTGGCTGGATGGTGTTGAAGTCAAACTGGAACTGTACCCCCGATGGGGGATTGCGTAGGAAGTTCCTCTTGTCCTGGCAGCAGAAAATGTTTAATCAGGGAGAGCAGTTTCCATAGTTACCACAGTTACAGTGAATAGGACATAACGGTTATTCATTTAACACAAAATTAATTGTGCTGAAGCAGTTGGTAATGAAGCTGTCCCCTAAAAATGTAGACACAAAATGAACAGGTTACTTTATTACGAGATAGTGCAACAACAGAATTAACTGATACAGATGTGCTGATACTCATTTCCGGTGACTGATCACAAAATGAAGGATGGTGATTCGGCTTATGTATGGAACACACCATTTTCATACTGATTTTAAGGGTCAAGTTAGGACCTCCACCAACACCCAAACAATTTAGTTGTAAAATATTAACGGACATAGGGTGTCAATTAACTAAAGACGAAATTTTCACCTAGATTTGGTTTTGCGTCGACTATCAGAGCTCCAGATAAGCTTTTGGCCATGTGGGTATAATACCGATACTTTTGAAACTAAGTCTGTATTTCCAATTTCAAGAGGGTATCTATACTCTTAGATACCCACCATATTTTTAAAATCTGGGTATTCATTTCAAATAAGTAAAAGAGGTGCGACATTTTTTTATTCTAAAATAAGACCAAATCTTCCTAGCAATGCTAAATTATAGCTAATAGAGCTTTATCCACTTGTGCTGTAAGAAATAATATGTGCCTCAGTCTACATCCGTTTTGTTGGAAAACAAGATACCGTATATGACCGTCTATAAGCCGAATTTTGAGGACCAAAAAAAGCCGTCTGTAGAAGGGGGTCGTCTTATCCATGAGTTACACTTTCATCAAACTTTTTTCCAGGGGTAAGAAAACAACATCGTATCACTTCGCGTGAACAAACAACAGAAGACGACTTTGTCAGTAGAGACGTCAAATTTGCAATTAAACATCACTAGACAAGATTAATTACCATTTAAGTTATAAGTTGTTTTTGCTGGGCATTGTTTTATTTGCAGGGATTAAGATTACCGTGTGTATTTGTCTCATGCACAAAGCCGAAATAGCAATCAGCTGTGCACACGCTTTCCGCTAACAAGTTCAAACATGCACAATAATATAACGGGACGAATTCTGACGCAGTCATCAGTAAAATATAATACAGAATACCGTTATTTAACCCAAAGAAATATATCCTAGCATTGTGTAATTTTAGTTACAGTTTTTGCTCTATAAATTAATTAAGATTACCGTATGCGTATTTGTCTCGCATTACACAAAGTCGAAATAGCAATCAGCTGTGCACACGCTTCCCCTTGAACAAGTTCAAACATGCACAATAATATAACGGGATGAATTCTATTGATTGAATACTATTATTTAACCCAAAGAAATATATCCTAGCATTGTGTAATAGTTTTATGTAAAAATATATAATCAACACTAAGGTTATAATGGACCATCATGAACGTGGTAAGCACGTGACATGGAACGAGGCGGTAATCAGTTTGTGATTGTTGAATGGGGTAAAATAAGCAAGCCAGTTTGTTGCTACAATAAATATGATATTTAGAGAAGCAAAATATATTATGCATTTTCTGTCAACTACACTTCGTTTCGATCCGTGAGTAGACACAATATATATGACAGTGAATTCTTTGAATAATGTGGATCGAATTTACAGTATGAGGAGGACAGTGACACGGAATTTGATGGGTTTACGGCCGATGACTTGTGAAAATCTCAGAACTCTCTTGCAGAAATGTCAGTGTTTATTGTTAGTGGACTATTTTTCTTATTGTCATATATATATATAGATGAAATATGGACACTTAAATAATATATTTTGAAACAAAAGTTGACTTCAGTTTTTATTTACTGATGGTACTTTTTCTCTCCATACTCACCGATTTCACAAAATGGCGTCTCGTTGTTGATGCAAGCAGTGATCGTCGGGATATAAAAAGGAACACAAACACATGTTGCCACAATACACCGGTAATCTTTATTATGTAATATTCTCACCAACACTTACGCTGTATATCCACTTTCCAAATGGCGTCTCGTTGTTGATGCAAGCAGTGATCGTTAAAAAAAGGTAAACAAACACCGGTAATCTTTATTAGGTCTTCAGACGAAAGTCTGGAAGAACTACTGTTATTATCCGAATATTCTTCTTCTTCTTCTTCTTCTTCTTCTTCTTATTATTTGTACAATTTTTGTGACAGCTCTCCTGACCTAACCGCTGGGCCGATTTTCATGAAACTTTCAGAGGTGATAGCCTGTGTGCTGAAATTGATACATAGTCGAAAAAATCCAGACTTCCGGCTTCCGGTAAGGGCAGAGAACCCAAAATGTCAAAATATTTCAAACTTTTTCAACGTCTATATCTCCAATACCATTAGAGATAAATTGACCAAATTTTCACTCAATGTAGACAACAACCTTCCCCATGGATTCAACCAATAGCGAAGTTTCAAGGCAGAATAAATTTTCCGCAATTTTGAAAAACTGAAATTTTGCCGATTTCCTCGTTTGACGGTGCCTGTCTTTAAAAATCTTCTTCTCCAGAACGGCATATAGTACAATCGCGTTCGATATATCATTTTAAAACCCACACTCCGGACTACTTAAACCCTTCAAGGCATATCGATATCTTGAATAGCTTAAGAGTTATCGCCCTTGGAAGTCAGTGAATTTTTTAAGATGCATTTTTATAAGGTTAAGAAAGAGGTCACAACTCTGCGGAAAATCAATGAATTCCATCTTCCATAGTATCAAACTGTAGGTAATTGGATGGGAAACATTTTTGCTTCACATCATGGTTATGAAAAAATCAATAATAACGTCACCATTACGACGCTAAAACACAGCCTTCGCGATTTAGCAAATTTCTGCACCTTTTTGACGGTGCCTCTGTTTAACAATCCTCTGCTCCTGAACGGCAAATAGTACAATAGTGTTCTATATATCGTTTTAAAAGCCCACACTCTGGACTACTTAGGTTGTTCAATGCATATCGATATCTTGAATAGTGTCGGAGTTATTGCCCTTGGAAGTTGGTCAATTTTGGCCAAACGCGCATTTTATAGGGTTCACAGCTCTCTCGAAAACACAATGGATTTTCTTTTTGAAGGTACCAAACTGTAGACAGTAAAATGTGGAACAATTTTGCTTCACATTATTATTATGTAAAGTCAATAGTTACGCACAATTACGCCACAAACAGTGAGGGACATTAGGATTTCGCATTTTTCAGTTGTGAGATAGCTGGAGGAAGTGTCGTAAAATCTAGCACCACTGAATGTAATTTTTAGAGTAAAATTGATATTTTATACTTATCCTGACTCATGCTCTTTGCTTGTCTTCTTCTTCTTGCTAACATAGTGGAACACTTGTATCTCCTTATTTGAAGCCCTTCAAAATAAAATCACTAATTGGTACTCACCACGAAGTTGCTCCCCTTTGTTTCCCCTGGCGGAAAGGTGTCGCCACCCTCTGGCCATGTGCTCCACTCTCTCCTGATTTAGCGAGCCCAACACTTGAATTTACAGGGAAATCCAAAGTGTTATGTGGGAGGATGGGAGGGTTAACCTCATGAGTCAGGATAAGTATAAAATATCAATTTTACTCTAAAATTACATATTTTCCTTATCCTGACTCATGCTCTTTGCTTGTAGCATCCTACGGAACGGAGGTGGGTAACAGAATACTTTGGATTTATAATTAGTGATTTTGTATAGATATACTGTAATATCCCCCACGGAACTTCATGAAGGCTTAGATTTAGGATGTTTCCTGTATAAAGAAAACCATAGGTTATATAAAGCCATTAAAGGGGAATTACATTATGAATATATTGAACAATACATATAAATTATATATATATATATAGGTGACTCTGATAGAGGCACTGAAATTGACTATACCAAAGTATATGCTTAAGGTTGAATACTTAAGCTGAACATATATACATAGCCCTAAAACTCCGTGAGAGTTATAAGCTAGATGAGTATGTATAAAATACATATTAATCTTGTGAGGATAATATTTTAACGCCTACGAGGGACTGTCAGTTGCTGAGCGAGGACCAGTGGTCCGAAATGGTGAATGCCAGAGACATCTTCTGTAGTGATGTCTCTCAGGTAGTGATTAGCAAATACCATGTTAGATTTCCAATAGCATCCTTCCATAATCGTGTTCAAGGAACAGTTACCGTAGGGCGAGGGTAGAGGCCAGTGCCCTGATCTCATGTGGATTTGATGCTGTTGGTGGGTCCAAGCCTGCTGCCTTGTAGGCACGGAGAATGACAGTCCTTATCCAAATAGATATTGTGGTCCGTGACACTTCTGTTTGATTCAGAGGCTTATAAGGGGATGAATAAACGCTTGAGAAATCTTCTCCTTGTTTTGGATCGTCAGAATAAACTTTGAGCTTCTTACCGACACAGTGATAGGTCTTGTGTATCTTGTGATCCGAGAATAGAGGATAGCCGGGATGTGGAATAATCTGTCTGGTTGACCTGGCAGTTGATTTTTTGGCGATGAAATCCCATCTTAATCCGAGGTGCGCCAGTGTTATGATTGTCATCAAACTGTATCCTCTCGTAATCCAGAGCGTGAATTTCAGACATTCTTGCTGCTGTGGCTAGCGATAGCAGAAACAGTGTTTTCTGTGAGAGAAATTCAAAGTTTGTCGATTCCAAAGGTTCATAGACCTCACTCGTGAGGTGTTGTAACACTACATTCAGATCCCAAGCTGGGCGTGGAACTTCCGCTTTGGTCCTCCAATCGGAAAGCTCGTAGTAAGGCCAGTAACTCTGGAGATCTTGTCAATTTGACACCCGCTCTCATGGTGATTACAGAACTAAGCGCCGCAAGATATGTTGATATCGTTGAACCTTTTAAATGTTTGTTTTGGCGAGGTAACACAAATAGTCTGCCACTTGAGGTTGTGAAGCCTCTCTTGCTGTAAACCCTTTCTTTGTTGCATAATTTTCAAACTGTGCCACTTGTCGTCGCATTGCCACGAAGTTGAGTAACGTAAGGCAAGCGT